ATTGAGAAAAAATTTCATTAAAATATTCCAAGCATCACACATCACACTAATATTTCCCACAACGTCTCATTATAGAACCGAATCACATTCACGAGTACCTATACCAAAGATTTCCAAACAAAACCGATTTATAAGTGTCTCCCCACCCTGGAAAAAACGCGTCAGTGAGAATCCGGTTAACATTTCCATATGAGAGGTCCAATCACTCTGCAATCTCACAGATGACCACCCTACGATCTTCATGGACTAGCCAGTCATTTTTCTGGACATTTCATCATTTCTCTCAGTGGAAGGCCACCCAGATCTATGCTAATTTTCATAGGAGGTGCACCCTTCTTTGAAGTAGTTGTGCCACTTGAAAACTTTGTAGGCTTCCTTGATCATTTCATGGGTTTCTGCACCATTCTGTCCAAGTCTGAAGCAAAATCCAATGACACAGCATTGCTCAATAATTCCCTCCATGTTGAGGGTTGAGTGGCGACTGACTTGACTTCACAGATGGGTCGGTACACATTCACACAAAGCTGCGCTACGGCCAGTTGGCCCCACAGATTCCCACCAAATTGACGCAGTAAAGAACTTATACCCAAGGTGAGTAACTGCCACCGATTCAAATTGGTATCTGCTAAGAGAAAGGTTCTACGAAGCCAGTCTGGGAACTTTTAGATCACACCTCGTATCTGTTAACCAATCTCTAAACTAAGAACATTACACAAAATGTTAATACTATAAAGAAGATATTTTCAGTAAAATAATTGCATAATACCGGCCAACTAGGAACATGAAATCATACTGAATGTGCAATCTGCAATTTAATCAGCATAAGGCTATATGCCATGCCATCCCAAATTCCAACTTATCGAGGCTCTCCCCCCCCCCCTCCTACAAAAATATAATAAAAAATTATCAACCCATGTGTGTACATGCAATTACTAAATGTAAAAAAGTAACACTTACCAGCACTGTAGGCAAAGAATGAAATATCATATCAGGTGACACAGATGGCTGGTAGGTGACAGAGGCATGGTAGGTGATGCAGGTGGCCAAATATGCCAAGATTTTCCCAGATAATTTAACATATCTCGGCATTTCCCGAGTTATACTAATACATTCCACGACCATATCCATGTTGAGTTATATGAAATTCAGAGTTATCGAGGGTTTACTGTACAGTACAGTATTCCTTAATGCGAAGTGGTATGATTGTGCCACGTTTTGAAGAATTTCTCATATTATTAGTTTACCTTACTAAATTGCACTTCTATAATTGTGAGAAACATTCAAAGCCTGTCTAGATTTGGGAATAGATCCTGAAATCCCCTTTATGATTGAGAGGTGAACATAAGGATAAATTCCCCCATGTTGTAGAATGCAACATCCGAGTCTGATAGGGAGTTGTGACCTTAAAAAATTGGTCAGATATCCTTTTTTATGATTAGGATATGAGTGTGCAATTATTTCATGAAACAATTGCCTTGGCTCAATCATGGACTTTTCTGCTTTTAATAGTAGCAGTTATATCATATAGGGACTGCATTCCTTCAAACTGTCTTTAGTTCCTTATGCTATTATGCATTTGTTAACCTGACTCCAATTTGGTATACTGAAGAGTCCAGTATAAAATACCTGTAAGATTTAGTATTAAAATATTAAATTTCAAATTCCCCAATACCTTCTTCTATTCAGTACACAATATTCCAATTACCCTTCATTAAACAATCTCAAAAGTAAATTCATATTCAATTACATAACTTTACTTATTACACCATTCCATACTTGTTCCCGTGTTATCTTATGGTGTAAATCCCTAAACCAAGCAATATAACAAGATTTTGAGCAATGTGTACAAGATTGTATTATCTACAACAAAGGCAGATTAATACATCAGAATTATTTTCCATATTTTGGGGGTTATGGTATGCTATGAATCAAACACCTCTCTCTCTATTTAACTTGTTTTCTTATTAGACATCTGCCCTGTCATTCACTATATACACAATACAGCTATGACTTTCAAACATATGAGATGAATATGAATTATCGAAAAATCTTTCCATGTAGAGTTAATTTATTTTCATGTGCATTAATTATATCACTGAAAGAAAAATTATTCTGCATCTCCCTAGTATCATTTCTCACATTATTTGTATCAAATCAAATATAAAACTTTGAACATCACTGCATGGAACCTATTTCTTAATGAATGAATAACCTTTTTTGTGTAGAATTTACACCTGTATGTATTCAAACTGATGATCACAATGAATAATGAATACTGTATATGTAAAATGTATGGCTCTCCTAATAATAATGCACACATATAACATTAAAGAAAATACTGAAATATAAAAAAAATAATGCCAAGTAGCTCGTATAAAATCTTTGTTTCTCCCACAAGCTTGATAAAAGAATCCTATCATAGTTTACAACCAAGCAACTGTTTTTCTTAAGTATTCACAAACTCACTTCTTTATTCTGACCTGACTAGAAACTTGTCTATCACTTTCTGGAGCAAATTTAGCATATTATCATTGTCAGCTTAATTTTTTCCACATTTACTTTCAGATGCAGATATGATTTATGAAAAAATGCAGAGAAAGTTAAAGAGAAAACATGTAATGGCTGAAAATCTATCATTACTAGTTTAAAAAAGTTATTTTCTGTCATCCCACACATCACAGATAAAAAATGAAAAGTGGCTTTCAAATATTTGAAGGCATGCAAAATTTCACAGATTTACATGTTAAGTGTATTGTGTGATGTGGTAGAGCATTTCATTCTTCGTTTTTAAACTCTATACCTTGACAGCTTCAAAATAAAATTTACTGTGTAGCACTTACAAGATATTATCTTTACAAAACTTTTATGCATTACAAACAAATACAGTATCAACATGTTCTCATTTTCAACATGGTTCCCACTCTGTAGCAGCTATGGTATGAGAATATATTACCATCAAACATTACTAAGAGTAGCAAAAATATAGTTCCTGATTGAAACTGTATAAAATCCTGCAACAACGAAGATGATCAACATTTATTACAAATTTGCTTCCATTTCATAAGGAGGTACGCAACTGTATTAAACTTTAATTTTTTGTGTAGTAAATTATATCTACAGTAAGTAAAAACATGATACATCATACAGTATTTCCATGAATTATATAAACCTTAAGCTAGTTTTGCAGTATCTTCTATACAGTCTCAATCAGTGCCAAATTCTCATCCCCCTCCCACTATCCATCCTAGATTACATTAAAAACACAAAGAACAAATTGAACTATTTAAAAAATAATAATATGAGCAGCCATAAACTGAATGTAGTTTCATATAATCCAAACCAATTACTGTACCTGTTTTTGCCAAACCAATTTCTGTACCTGTTTTTGCCAAACCAATTACTGTACCTGTTTTTGCCAAACCAATTTCTGTACCTGTTTTTGCCTATGACATTTGTTCTTCAAACAGCAAACATTTAAATTTTAAAAAATCTTTTTATTTTTCATAGAAATTAACTCAAATTATTGGCACCTGCTAAACAATGCCTCCATTATTGAACATCAATACAGTAGTCCTCAACAAGAATTTGCATCCCCCAATACAACAAAAGAGAATGAACACTAAAAATTTACACAATTGGTGAAGAATGAATATCTAAAAATAACAGTACCCAGTTGATAGTTAAGGAAGACACAATCAATCTTCAAAAATATATCTTACACTGTAATATCATTACAATCAGAGCATTAAAGAATGTTACCATTAAACCCGACCAAAATCTTTTTTTTAAATTTAAAGCCACTAAAATTCTAAACCCAATATTTCAATTTTCACTCCATATAAAAGTTCATATCTTGATCAGTAATAATTCTTTATTCAGTTCATTTAAGTTTTTTTCAAAATAATAATAATAATATAATAATAATAATAATAATAATAATAATAATAATAATAATAATAATAATAATAATAAAAGATAATCCAGAATTAGCAGGTTTCCTCTGAGCATCATACTTCCACCTCAGGAATGATTATGACCTTAAGCCTCAATCTGAGCCTTGAAGTGGGTTCAAAAATACACAGAGCCCACTGTATCCTGACTTACTCAACAATAAATGTAGGTCACTACTACAAGAGGTAGTAGTTGTGGCTATGGGGAGTCGGACGAGGGGCCAGGTTCTAAGCGTGGTCGCTTGTTGCGGGGAGCTTCCTCTTCATTGCTGCCAGAACCCGTCTCACGTTTCTTTTTGGGGCTCTGAAACATTGAGTTATGTAAGTAATTTTATAAGTACAGGTATCCTGAATACTGTCATCAAAAAAATATCCCTTATCCCCAATCTACCTCAACTCAGGAGACAGGTCATGTGACCTGATTCCTTTGTTTTTTACGGAATTAGCCCACCCGGGCACAGGTCAAACGACCCACAACGGAGCCTCGGGGGGCGAAAAAGAAAGAAAAGAAAGAAATTGAAAATACTGTATAGAAAAAAAGGTTATACTGTATTAATCTACACCACGAAGATGCCGGAAAACCATCTTTTTAAAGTAAGACAGATTGTAAGAGCATGGAAACACAGAAGAAGGCAGAGCATTCCACAGTTTGGCTGTGTGAGGAAAGAAGGAGGTACTATAACGGGTTATTCTCGTGTGACCGACATCCACAGAGAAATGGTGGGCACCGCGGGCAAGACGTGTGTTATGAACCCACGGCATTGCCGGCGGTACACAGGATGCCAAATCCACTGAACATTGCCCGTTAAAGTACCTGTAAAAGAGAAAGAGTGAAGCAACATTGCGGCGAAGAGAAAGGGGAGAGAGATTGTCGACTAAAGGAGAGTTAATAAGACGAAATGCCTTTGATTCCACCCTATCTAATAGTTGGACAGAAGAAGAGCCACCCCAGATATGAGAGCAGTACTCCAAGTTAGGACGAATGAATCCCTTATATACTTGGAGCAACTGCTCAGGAGTGAAGTAGCTGCGGCATCTGTACAGCATTCCCAACTTTCGGGAGGCAGCTTTAGTTATACTAAGGATGTCTTTCTCCCTTACTTTGATCTGATAGTTGGCTGAAGAGGGTCCTAGTATACTAACTCCAAGATTTGGTCTTGTATTTCTCCAATGTGGGTTTTTACTTCATTTACCAATGTCACCATTACACTTTTAGAATATCATCTACATACTTTCAGCTCACCTCACAATGTACGGCACAGTATTTTCTTTATTTCTATGCCACATTACAGTATTGTAATGACGTGCACTTGGAGCACAGAATCTCCAGTTTTTCCGATTTCCTCCCGAATTTTATCCAGCGAGTCAAAGATCGCTAAACCAAAACTTGACAATTATTAAACAACAAAGGGTGTTAAAAATTTTAAATTGCTAAACCAAAATATCGCTATGTGAACGATCACTAACGGTGGATACCTCTACCTACAGTATACCCTGATTTACAATAGGGTAGCATTCCTAGAAATCCTAACATAAATTGGGAGACTTTAAACATGACCTTTCCAACTCAGACATGTATCACAGAAAAAGCTATCCTACACTAATTAAATTAATAAAATAAAATTAAACAGCACTCGCACACATTAATAATAACATGCCTGCCGCTTAACAATGTCTTCCTAAAGCCTTGGTTTTCCCAGAGGCAGGAGACTCAGCAGGAAGCTTGCTAGCCATTTTCAAAGTTATTAATCATTTCACGGTCAGCAAAACAGATGAAACTCTTGAACCATAGCGTTTTCCTCTCACCAATAATGGTAAATGTCACAGCAATCACAAGGTTACACAATGATAAATAATGATAACGTTGGTTACACAGGTGAAGGCCGGTGCAATCACATTGGAACAAAGCACAGAAACAAGATACACAGGGTGGCCATCAGGTGGCATATGTGTAAGTGAAGCTGCATGTAGGATAGAAAAGCAGTTTGTGTGCATAGCGGTGATCTTGGATTTGACAAGTGATGGGAGAGATGTGCTTCCCCAGTGTTTACATGCCACATCAGCCCAGTAAGGTGATCCTACCAGGAGCATGTCCCAGGTAGCTATTGTTCACCAAAAATGTGTGGTAAATCTGAAATTCCACCACCATAAAACTGTCTGGACTATCAGATTTTCCGAACCAGTGATTGCCAGAAAATTGGTGGTCAACCTGTATTGTGAAATTATGTAAATGAACAACAATTTCACTTTTTAGCCATGTTATACATCAGTTTTCTTGTACTGTAAAGTACCATGAGTCTCCACCCAAATCTTTTGCTATCCTTTTCCATATTTTATATTTTGCTTTACAATTAGTTCCCATATTTTTCTGACATACATACAGTAATCTATTCAACTTCAATGGGTCCAATCTTGTAACCATTTTCTATTAAGCCTCACTATCACCTTCACAGCATCTTTTAATTCCTCTGACCACCGTGTAAATTTAATTTTTACTCTACTTTTGTTTCTAACTTTCACATCTAAAACTTCACTTTGCATTCTGTGTAATACGATTTTCATATAATTCCATCAGTTTCAGCACCTTGTTTATCTGTGAATGATTCTTCTTTTTCACATTTTAAGTCTTTACTTTTTCTATAATCATCAACGTCCATCATTTTGTGGCCATATTCCATGCTTGCATGGAATAGCCATGATTACTTGAAGGCAGCTGCACAGTCTCTCCTTGCTGCTCATTTCACTTGCTCATTACTTTCTTGACATCTCTAAATAGGGTAATTAGCTTAGAAAATACAAAAAGTGCTACAGAGTTCTGTCAAAGCATGGAGCTTGTAAACAATATCATTATGACATGCTGTAGCCAGTCAAACTGCTTTGAACATGTGTAATATTCATTACATGTTTCCACTACTAATATACGTATGCAGGTATACAGTGGACTCTCGATAATTCGCAAAATGCAAATTCACCCGGTAACCCTATTTTTTATTTAATTTCAGCCAGATATTAATAATTCGCAGCGGAGTACTGGCTGCCACAGTGTTTATTTACATGAACCATAATTGGCCTTAGAAATAAAGAAAATACATGTACTATACTGTAATGTAAATATCACTTCAATGCTCAATGTGACTTAGAAACTAAGAAAATTTAAACCTAAAAAAAAAAAATGTTTATGGGGAGGTAGGCCGATTGGGGGTTGGGTGGTGAACTGAACATCCCCTTCCTCTCCCTCCTTCCCACGTTCCTGGTCTGAGTACACCCCCTCCAATATCATTAATACAATATGCACTCTCACCATAATTCCCATAATATTTAGGTTCATTTAGTACTGGGTTTATAAAACATTATTGTTAAGTAATAAATTTTCACACAAAAAATCCCACACTCAACCCCAGACGAGTTATTGTGTGGTACTGTATTAAATTCCTGGTTCTTTGTTGACATAGTGCAGTTACAGCCTGCCCAGAGCCTTCTTATCTGGATGATGGTGCATGTACGTAGCCCAACCGAAATTGAGAAGGGAAGGAGCAATTTATGTAATGCAGAAGTACTTTCAGTACAATATCTGTTACTGTATTTTTTTTATGCATTATGTACAATGTTAAATGTTATTAAAGCAGTTTTGGAAGTGTATGGGTATTTCTTGGCCTCTAGAATCAAATTAATTATTTCCATTAAAATCAATTAAAATATAATTTGCAATTTGATAATTAATGATGTTTTCTGTTACCTTACCTGCAAATTATCGATAATCCAGTAATCCAAATTTTTTTTAAAAAGGTGTAAATACCAAAGTCAAAGATGGATGATGATGATGAATAGGATACAGTACTGTACTATGTTTATACTGTACTGTATATTCATACACAAACTTACCTTCTTTTCCCACTGTTGATGTAAGTAACGCAAGAGAATATTTGTCTTCTCTGTCACAACTGCAGAAATAATAAATAGATTAATGGTCAGCTTTTTTTCTTGTCATTTTTTTGTGGAAATAATAATTTGTGGATTATAAACATTTAAAAAAAAAATTTCAGTTCATGGCTCCAGCCTGGACTTAGTGGCCCTGGAAGCTTTCATTCATGATAGATGAAACTAATACCAGTACTATTGGAATCCTTCAAATTACTGAAGCTAACAATAATGAAATCCAAAAAAATATGGAATGAGTTTTAAGATGTGGAAGAAAAATTTGTGTTAATAGAAAATTTCCAATATTTTATTGATTACAAAATGAAATATTGTACATAATACTGTGTATAAAGACACTTACTTGTATATTACCTGCAAACTACAATGATATACAGTACAGTTATGACCTCCCATAGTGCCTCATGATCCATCCTTATCATCTGTTATGTCAAGGCCCGTTAAGAGCTGAATACAGTTTCCTAATTTTTCTAGTAGCATTACTGTACAAGAATTATCTATTCTACAAACATTCTTATTGTATCTCACTAACTTGACTGTTTAGATATTGCCTGGCGAGTTAACCACCAATAAATTATTGATATACAGTATATATTGAGTTTTATAAAGCTGAACTCAATCATGTTAGATTAGTTTGGTTATGTAAGGATTAGTTGGGTTACATTTACAATTAAAGTTCATCAAGATGACAAGGGGCAAAGTGTCTGGAATAACGAATTGTCCAGAAACGATTTGGCAAAAAAAATAAATAAATAAATTACACTGCAATTGTTAAATATTGTATTTACATTGATATAGGCATGCACAGGAGGTCCCTGGATTATGTATGTCTGACTTACGAACATCCGCTGATACCAACGAGGTCCCATAAAGTCAAACTTAAATTTACAGTATTTTGTTTACCCGATGAATTATTTTATACTTTCATTTACTGTACAGTACTTTGTCATTCTATTTCTTCCTTTCTCTTAAATTAAGTGATTTTAGATGTATATAAGGACTTAAACTATAATATAGTGGGATTTTAAACATTGTTTTGTAAGTATACAGTATGCACATAAGGTATGTTGTTCGACTTAAGAACATTCGTAGGAAAGGAATTTGTACATAACCCAGGGACTACCTGTACATAGCACATACTGACTTCATTTAACTGATATTTTAAATATAATACAGGCACACGGGACTGTAACAGAGTTGAATGGGGGACCAGGTAGAGGAAATGTTTCAACAAACCATGATTCATCAGGATGGCATAAAATAAATACTGTAGTTGTTTGTAATAAATTGAGGTATTATAATGGGCTTATCGTTTTACATTGTTTCTGGAAAACTGTGAGGGCGAACTTATTCAAAGTGAGAGTTGTGAACTCTTGGAACAATCTGCCAGAGAGTGTTGTAACGGCACTGAGTGTGAGCTCTTTCAAGACCAGACTTAACCAGCACTGGAGCAGGCTCAGATACATTCAGGAGCCAGTGCATGCCCAGTACTTGTCAACAGAGCGTAACAGATATGTGACCAACCGCCCAAGCGGCTAACGAACCGGTCAGTGGCAAAGAGGATAAAAGTAAAGGTAAAGGTACAGTTGCCACAGGTAACTTTTGAGATTTTTTTTCATTGCTACATAAGGTACTACCACTTTCCTAGAGCAAATAGTGAAAAAAAATTAAATAAAAAATCCACAAGCAGTGAATCTCCTTGGCTACTACACCAAACTTCCAATCATTAGATATCACTAGATCTTCACAATACTCCTTCCATCCAGTTACCATCTCTACTTTTTATCAATATTCTTTCCTCTGTACAGTACTGTATATTCTACTCTACTATCACTATTCGTTTCCCCTCATGCTGATAAGCACAAAATACCAAGAAAAGTTAAAAAAAAGATGCTTAACAGAGACAACATCAAGGCATTGACTTACTTTCTTGAGAGCTTGGACTGTCTTTTGTGGGCAGGTAGACAGGAGGTTTCTTATAGGAGGTGCGACCACTAGGATCTCCTTGGAACCTACTGAAATTTTGCTCATTGTAAACTGGGAGTCCTTTCAAAAATGAAGAAGCCTGTAAATAAAAAGTAGAAAAGTTTGTGAGACTTGTATATACTGTCCTGTACAAAATGTAGCTCCAATTATATTTTGATTATACTGTAATGGGTTCAAGATGCTATTAATTCTTACCGGTTTGACAAAACATTTCAAGAATGTAAATGACTAAATTATTATTTTTTGGGGGTCACGAAGGCAACACCAATATCAGTAGGCACAGTTCCATTCAGAAGTTCGTTATACACCTGTGGTAAAGGGCACATAGCCTGTTGCACCCTTCCTGGACGTCAGGTCACTCACCGACCCTCCCACCAATACACAGAGTGGAACTGACAACGGAACAGTTTGATTCAAATAAAAACTCACCAAAACAAGATGAGAAGGATATTAATATGAATTTCGGCCAACGTTACTGTTGATGGATGATGAAGATGTGTTAATATCCTGCTTACGAGAAGAAGAAAGTGATAGGAGTATCTTTATCAATATCAGCATAGTTACCTGACGTGTGAAGGTTGTTGCTGGTCTTGTGTTTCAGTTCTAGTGCTTATAAAGGAACTTGGCATGAAAATACAAATATTAAACCCAGTACAGATATTATACGTTTATTTAGGTAAATTTTTACTTATGCACCAGTCTTTTGTTTGAAAATTAAAAAAAAAAATTTTCCGATGATATTTGATGAGTTTCGAACGAATTTGATATTAATTTCCGCCGGAAATCACTAGTTTTTGCCCCCCCACCTAACCTTACCGCTAGCCAGGGCATAGCTTAAACTAACCTAAATGTCTCGGTAGTTAAAAATTTTGGGGTGCACCATGTCCGAAAGTACAATACCTTAATTAGAAGTGGAAGGACCAGGGATACGTAAGAATTGGATAGAATGATCGTCTTTTTCATGAAACTCGGCAATAAACTTAAAATAATCATAGGAGCACAAATGACAACCAACCTCCACCATGGACATTGTGAGACTGGTCAGTGAAATTACCCAGGCTGCTTCCTTTGAAAAAAATCAAATGTGATTAGTCGAACAAAAATTGCGTGATGATATCGATACATTATTGGTCACGAATGGATGACATCGGTCAATATTGCGCATGCGTGATGAGCAGATAACATCTCAAGGTAAATAAGACATGGCGACACTGTGACTGAGCGAATTTAATATTGAAAAATTAATATCTCAGTTATCCTTAATTCCCAGCTGAAATATCATAAAAGAAAAGGGTCTTAGAATTGTCTAAACATTACAAAATACATATTAATAACAGAGAGAGAAAGACTGGTGCATATAGAAAAATTCACCTTTATTTATAAACATATTAAAGAAAGCACTTTTAACAGGAATACTGTGAAATTGAACTGAGTTTGTGTGCAAAATCAGTTGTATATAATGTATTTCAAAACACTCTGCCAACTGAGCTGGATCAAATCTGATGCTCTCACGTCCACAAAAAAAACGTAAAATTACACCATATCATAGTAAGTTCTTTCTGTTTAATATACCCGGCGGTGACCCGGTGAGTAAGTAAGGTAAGGTTATGTACGTAGGTTTGTTTGGTTAGGTTGGTGACGTCTGTTTTTCATACCCACTGAGGTTAGGTTAGGTTTAATGTAGAAATAACCACTTTTTAACACATTTGCACAAACTGCAACGATGTCCACTATAAAAAAATGGTGAAATTATGGCATTTTTAAAATAATTTTGTATAAAAAGTTTGCCACGGGTCAGTCGTCAATAATTACCAAACTATTATTTATATAAATATTTTTTTATCCAAGAATGTTGTATAACTATAAAATTTACGAACATCACCTTTTCTTCTTAGTCAAACAAGAGGAAAATCTGGTGATACAGAATATTGAAAAACTTCACATGAACAAAGCAACTTATTGTTTCGTATCATGTTTACATTTCTTAACTATATTTTACATCCTGATTACATTTCTCTGCACAAAAGGCTTTCAACGTATAATGAAAACACGACAGAAGGACCTTTATTACTCTATAAAAAAACACAATCAATGGGATAACAAGAAAGACTGGCTGAAGTTACACTCAATTTTGTCTGGGAGTGGTCGCCCTAATCCACTATTCCCACGTTCTTTCAATGAATTCACTTATCAACTTTCTCAGTATGCTAGTATAATGTCTTTTTAAAAATATCACAAATTGCCATGGACCCGTTTCCCTGTTATTCAAAAGAAATTGAGTATTATGTGTGGATCTGATCATACTTACCATGTTGTTGCTCTTCTTGGTTGTGTTCGAACATTAAATAAGCTATCAACTAATAAACTTGAAGAGTAATATACGCTGAATTTTATATGTAACAACTTGATTGATTATTATGTATTATGTTTTACGGCTTTATATTGTAGAATATATCAATAATGATGATTTTTCAATTGTTTGCACATTGCGCCAGCCGAAGTCATACTACTGAATTCGAAGGATTCTGTGAAAACCGAAAGGTGAATATTGACCCCCGATGTCTTGACCCTGAGGAGTAATTCCATATAATATTCATTGTGAAATTTGTTTCAATATACAGCTTTCGAATTTCTTTGCCACTATATTCGATATTGGTAAAATTATATTGAAATGACATCATTATTGGAAACAATACAGAGTTGCCATAGTTGCGATTTCAGTCGACATGAAGCACTGGTGCAGCAGGTTCAGATACATTCAGGAGTCGGTGCATGCTCAGTGTTTGCCAACAGTGCCTAACAGAGACGTAACCGATCACCGGCTAACGAGCCGATCAGTGGTGAAGAAGGTAAAAGTAAAAGTAAAGAAGTCAAATGGCTCTAGAATCTAGATATAGCCATTACAATAGTTCAAATTATACTTGAATATGTAGGTTGTTTAGATTTTGCCTTTCTGGTATAAATATAACTTGTTGTGGGTGCTATAAACATATTTCAGGAATATGAATTATTCGATGATAAGCCAGTGTTATCCCAAGGCATAATTTGGTATTACAGAATAATTTTTGTGAACTAGGTGTCTCGATTATTTTCTATTCCAACCAACAGTTATTTTAGCAAGTTTACGAAGACTTTCTTGTATACATTGATGTAATCAAGAATTTTCTAGAATATATTGCAGCATTTTTGTTGTGTTCTCATAAGAGGTGGTGCATCCCAGAGTGCTAAGAGCAGGGCCGGATTCAGGAGTGGGCAAAGTGGGCAGCTGCCCAGGGGCCTCCACAATCTGGGGGCCTCCACATATCAGGGCTGGTCGACTTGAAACCACATGAATGACTCCAGTCATGTCTCACTTTTGTGTGTGTGTGTTGGGAATTTGTACACTATCAATAAATATACAGTTAATTAAAAATTTCCCAGTGTTCTAATTTCCTCAATATAACTGCATATGGCTTCAAAATTCTCCAAAGAAGTGTTCAAATTTCAAAATTTTCCCGGGGGGCTTACAGCGCCCCCCGGAACTCCCAGATGTTTAGACTCGCTTCACTCGCCACCCCACCCTCGTGGGTAGTTATAATGAGGGGGGCCTCCACAAAGAGGCTGCCCATGGGCCTCAACAGGTCTAAATCCGGCACTGGCTAAGAGAGTTGTGCAACGAGCTTGCTGAGCCCCTGAAGAATCTGTTCTGTAAATGTCTGGATGAGCAAAAGGTCCCCAGTGATTGGAAAATGACTCGAGTCCTATTTTTAAGAAGGGCGATCGACACTCCACGAATAATTATAGACCGAATAATTATAGACCGGTGAGCCTGACCAGCATAATATGTAAAGTACTTGAGAGCATTATAAGAGATGCCATGATGGAACATTTACTGCTAAACAACCTTGTAAAGGATTACCAACGAGGTTTTATGCCGGGACGCTCCTGTTTAACGATATTACTCAAGGTACCTTATGTTTGGACCCAAATTCTGGAACAGGGTGGCAATATCGACTGTATGTACTTAGATTTTGCCAAGGCTTTCGACAGCGTACACCATGAAAGGCTGAAAATTAAACTGGAAGGGTACGGGATTCGGGAAGTCTCATAGCGTTGATCGGACACTTTTCTTTATGATCGCAAGCAGTGTGATGTGATTAATGGTACGACTACGAAATCGTCATGTGTACCCGTGACAAGCTGGGTACCGCGGGGCAGTGTATTGGGCCCGCTGTTATTTGTTTGCTTCATAAATGACATGCCTGCACTTCGGCACCTCAACTACCCTGAGATATTGGAGCACCTGAACTTGCAGAGCTAGTACTACAGACGGGCAAGGGGCGACCTAATTGAGGTGTATAAGCATCTCAAGGGGCACTACTCAGTCGAGCGTCCTTACTTGGAGCTGGCGAACGCTCGCCCCACAGGGGGTCACAGCTCAAGATTTAAGAAGCCACAAGTCCAGAAAACTATGAGGGCAAACTATTTCGGAGTGAGAGTTGTGAACTCTTGAAACAATCTACCAGAAAGTGTCGTGTCGGCACCGAGTGTGAGCTATTCCAAGACCAGACTTGACCAACAATGGAGCAGGTTCAGGTACATTCAGGAGCTGGTGCATGCCCAGTACTTGCCAACAGTGCGCAACAGAGACGTGGCCGATCGCCCAAGCGGCTAACGAGCAGATCATTTAGTGAAGAGGATAAAAGAAAAAGAAAAATAACAGACGTGATCGATCGCCAAGCGGCTAACGAGCCGATCAGTGGTGAAGAGGATAAAAGTAAAAGTAAAGTAAAGATGCCTGAAGCTATGCACTCCTCCAAAAAAATGTTTGCAGACGATGCCAAGCTATTTAAGGAAATTAAGAATCACGCGAGCCGATTGGAGCGCCTGAACTTGCCTAGCTTATACTACAGACGGGCAAGGGGGACCTAGTTGAGGTTATAAGCATCTCAGGGGGCACTACTCAGTTGAGTGTCCTTACTTGGAGCTGGCGGACGCTCGCCCCACAAGGGGTCACAGCTCAAGATTGAAGAAGCCGCAAGTCCAGAAAACCGTGAGGGCAAACTTTTTCGGAGTGAGGGTTGTAAACTCTTGGAACAATCTACCAGAGAGTGTTGTGACGGCACCGAGTGTGAGCTCTTTCAAGACAAGACTTGACCAACACTGGAGCGGGTTCAGGTACATTCAGGAGCCGGTGCATGCCCAGTATTTGCAACAGTGCGTGACAGAGACGTGACCGATCGCCCGGGCGGCTAGCGAGCCGACCTTTTGGTGAAGAATAAGAAAAGAGTCGTGACGATCGCCCAAGCGGCTAACAAGCCGATCAGTGGCGAAGAGATAAAAGTAAAAGTAAGCAGACTGTGAAGAGCTGCAGAAATATCTCTGTGAGCTTCAAGAGATATACAACCACAAAATTATTGTCATATGCCAGGATTTATCCAGAAAAATTTAAGTGAGATGCGTGCATGGCTGTGATTGACCATGCAAGGGCCGATCAGAGTACTGTGCCTTTAGCTAAGACGGTCCATAGTGACAACAGTGACCGCCGTGCAGGTTGAAAATAAATTGCAGTGAAAAAACAAATTGGGACAAGAAATCAGGCACCACTGCCGTTAGTAAACCAAGTCATATCATTGGTGCCACAAAGAAAGTTTTTCTTCTGTGTGTGTTTTCTCAGGTACTGAAATTGTGCTTACGATCCACCATTTATAGGGAGATGCAGTGTACACAGTGAGGGCACAAAGAAATATATTCGTTGATGAAAACTGGAAAAGAGAACACAAGAATATAATAGTTAAAAAGAAGGAAAAAAACAAGCCGAGCTGTCTCGAATGCCATTTATTGCCGCCACAAAGATTTTTTTTCTCTGTGTTTTTCTAAAGGACTGTGATTGTGCTGCTTTGTGCATAAGCTCCACCATTCATGGCGAGATACAGTGTACATAGTGATAGCACATAGAGACACCATCAACTCGTCCCAAGGAGGGCCACCAGACTGGTGCCTGCACCTCGGCATCTCAGCTACCCGGAGAGAGAAGAGCACCTGCAATCGCTTATACTACAGAGAGGCAAGGAGGGACCTAATTGAGGTGTATAAACGTCTCAAAGGGCACTACTCAGTCGAGTCTCTTTACCTGGAGCTGGCGGAAGCTCGTCCCACAAGAGGTCACAGCTCAAGGTTGAAGAAGCCACAAGTCCAGAAAACTGCGTGGGCAAACTATCTGGATAAACTGAAAATTTCTAAAGTTCATCCAGCATATAAAAAATCTGGGGATAAAGGTTTTTTCAAGAATTACCGCCCCATATCAGTCCTCCCAGCTTTAAGTAAGATACTGGAGAAGCTAACATATAGTTGACTAAATTTCTTCTGCAGTGTCATTAACATCCTTACAGACTCTCAGTTGGGATTAGGAGCTAGAAGGTCAACTGAGAGTGCTCTGCTATCCTTTACTCATGACATCTTAAACTCCTTTGATGACAGTTCATAGTCGGAATATTCCTGGACGTCTTTAAAGACTTTCATACTGTCTACCATACCATCCTCCTGTCAAAGCGGCTAACGAGCCTATCAGTGGCGAAGAAGATAAAAGTAAAAAGTAAAAGTAATGATCATCAATCTGACTTCTCACCAATTTTTTATGGCGTCCCTCAAGGCTCCTTTCTCGGTCATGTACTGTTCTTGTTGCACATAAACGATACAGTCCACTCCAGCACACTCGTAAAATAAATGCTAGTAATCTCTATGCCAGCAACTCAGATCTCCATTCCTTGATGCGAACTACGAACACTGAATTGACTAAAGAAGAAGGATCTCCGTGAGCTTCAAGAAAGGTCGAAGAAATGGCTGCTAAGATTCAATGTCACAAAGTGTAAGAGGCTGCACCTGGGACGTACCAACGGTAAGGAGGCATATCATATGTCCCAACGGGACGAAGAAACTGCATTAATTGAAACTGAATGTGAAAAGGACCTAGGTGTGTATTTTGACGAGCTGGAGTTCTTTTACTTTTTTTACTTTTATCCTCTTCGCCACTGATCGGCTTGTTAGCCGCTTGGGCGATCGGTCACGTCTCTTTTCCTTTATATTCTTCACCAAAAGGTCGGCTCGCTAGCCGCCCGGGCGATCGGTCACGTCTCTGTCACGCACTGTTGGCAAATACTGGGCATGCACCGGCTCCTGAATGTACCTGAACCCGCTCCAGTGTTGGTCAAGTCTTCTCTTGAAAGACCTCACACTCGGTGCCGTCACAACACTCTCTGGTAGATTGTTCCAAGAGTTTACAACCCTCACTCCGAAAAAGTTTGCCCTCACGGTTTTCTGGACTTGCGGCTTCTTCAATCTTGAGCTGTGACCCCTTGTGGGGCGAGCGTCCCCAGCTCCAAGTAAGGACACTCAACTGAGTAGTGCCCCCTGAGATGCTTATAAACCTCAAC